TTATCGGCTCGGCTTGTGGGGCTTAAATAAGCGAGGGTTGATATGTCAAGCAACTAGCACATGAGCCACTGAGCCACAACCCACATGTCATCTCACCAACTTGACACCTTTTCAACACTCCCCCATCTCCACCATTTTTTTTTTCTCTTTATTAATTTTAATATTTTATCATTATTTCCATTAATTAAAATCACTTGATAAAAATAATTCACAAAACTCCTCAACGTACTTTTCCTGTTTTGCCCCCTCCATTTCCCCAAATTCCCATTCCTTATAAACAAATAAAATCCCTCTTCTCTATCCCCTCTCTCTCTTCTTCTCTCTCTCCTCTACTCTCTCTCTCTTTCTCTAAGAATTCAGCGTCAATGGAGAATCCCGAAAGCTCAATCTCAATGGCGGAGGAGAACTCGGAGGAGACCGCCACAACAAGCCACCACCTGGCGGTTCCGGCGGGGCTGACTCAGGACGAGTTCGTCGAGCTGACCCGGTTCGTGACCGAGTTCCACACCTACCTAGTCGAGCGCCGCCGCCAATGCTCCTCCCTACTCGCGCGGAGAATCCACGCGCCGCCGGAGATTGTGTGGTCGGTCGTCCGCGGATTCGATAAGCCGCAGACCTACAAGCACTTCATCAAGAGCTGCGTCGTGAAGGGCGACTTCCAGATGGCGGTGGGAGCCACCAGGGACGTCAACGTCATCTCCGGCCTCCCGGCGGAGACGAGCACCGAGAGGCTCGACATCCTCGACGACGAGCGACGCGTGACGGGATTCAGCATCATCGGAGGCGAGCACAGGCTGAGGAATTACCGGTCGGTGACGACGGTGCACGGATTCGAGCGCGACGGCAGGATCTGGACCGTCGTTTTGGAATCGTACGTCGTCGATGTGCCGGAGGGGAACACGGAGGAGGACACGCGTCTCTTTGCCGACACCGTCGTGAGGTTGAATCTCCAGAAGCTCGCCTCCGTCACCGAAGGGATGGCGCGTGGTGAGTAATCGACAACGACGACGGAGACGACAACGGTAAGAGAAATTTTGAAGAAGAAGAAGAAGAAAGCAGGTGAAAAAAAAAAAACAAGAAAAGAAAAGAAGGAAAATGATTTTCTTTTTCTTTTTTTTTTGTCTTAATTTTTTAGTTGGGGGTTTGGGTTTTTGTGAGTACGACTACGTTTTTTTTTTCGTTTTTTGGTTTTATGATGCATGTGGAATCACGAAAGTATCCTTGGTTTCACCTGATTGACTGTGATGGCAATGCTTTATTTTGGTTGAAAATTTAGTGCGAAGGTGAGGACATTTCAGTCAATGCACGTGTACAGAGAGAGAATAAAAAAAGAAATTGTCAAAATTTGGGGTTATCGATCGTTTTGCTCTCTCCGTCTCGCTCATGTGAATATTTTGATTTGGGTTTATGGATGGCAATATGGCATAATGCCCTTTAACTTTGTGTAATTTTCTTTTCTTTTCTTTTTTTATTTACCCACTTTAATGTTTCTTTCTATTATACTCTTTATGTTTTTTTTTTCTTTTCCTTTCTTTTCTAGGTTAAATAAAAATAAAAGTAATTGACACAAATAACTCTTAATTTATGACCCATAATCTGTTAACCTATAACCCATAATCTATTAAGTTTACTTAAGTGACAGTTTAGTACTTATTTTTTTAATTTTAGTAAAACACTTCTAAACTCTTAAATAGGTGCAATTAATACATTTTTATCTATTTTTGTTACTTTTCTACGGAAATTTACCCTTGAATATGTATTCAAGCTGAAAAGACGAAGTTACCTGATTTACTCTTCTTCTTTTAATCACAAACAACAAACCCAGCTATCAGTTTTTTTTTTAATCAAGATTAATAAGGAAAAAAAAGGCCTTCTTCACGTCTCACCCCCTCTCCAACCCACTTCACTCTAGATTCAATGCTCAAATTTAAGGTTGATAATATATGTCACCTATAGGTTAGGGTTAAAAAAAATAAGTTTGTGTTAGAATTGCGTCAATCTGATACGAAAAAACATGAGTTAATTTTAAGTTACACCCACTTAATTCGAATACGATACGAAATTTGTAAAAAATTAATATATATATATATATATATCATTACATATTTTATTATAAAATTATGATATTATAATAGTTATATTAAAAATTTTATATTATTATTTGTTTAATTTTGATAGATGTTATTATATTTTAGTGTGTTATAAATTTTAAATTATTTTTAATATGTAAAAAATTAAAGAAAATTATATAATTTACGTGTCAATTTTAAATTACGGGTTAATTTTGTGTCACAAGTTATTTTCTTATCATGTCGTATCAACTAGTAAATTGGTCTGTTGTGTTCGTGTTGTCATTTTTTAAAAATTTCATCACGGATCGTGTTTAAGTTAACTATAAATTTAAAAAAAAATCACTAAAACACGACTCGAATTGCGCTCTACTCAAATCCACAATTCAATCTTTACAGTTCTCTTCATTTGAGGTCAGATTTAACAGAAACCTTCAAACATATTTGGTAGAGGGATTCGTTCCCTGATTCGAATCATGATTCATGATTCGCTACAGTATTTTCCCTCACAAAAAATTTATATAAATCGAAAATAATTCGAATCACATGATTTAAATTCTCCAATCAAACATTAGTTTGATTGAAAGAAAGTGATCTGCTAATTCAATGTGGATCTTTCCTCTTTTCCCTCCTTTTTAATTTTACTTTTTGTTAAATTGAACGGCCTAAATTCAGCCCCATACGCTTTTACTATTATACCTCTGCTAAGAATGTCACGTGAGGGTCAGATGCTAGTTTCTGTAAGAAAATTGACAGAGATGAACGAGGTGTTAAATGCACCTATTTTAAGAATTTAGAAGTTGTTTTGTTAAAATTAAAAAATAAATTAAATTAAATTATCATTTACTAAATATGTTAGAGACTAAGGCCCGTTTAGTTTGTTGATTCGAGTTTTTAATTCGAGTTGAGATATAATTTTATGTGAGAGCTTTTTACTGTAGTAAAAAAGTTAAATGTAATTGTTTATGAGAATTTTTTTACTATAATAAACTCAAATTTTAAACTCAAATCAGTAAAATAAAAGGGACCTATATGTGTTAATTACCTTAAAAAGAAATGCATCACAATCCAATATGAAAATCTATGCTTTTGACTTCTTTGTTTGCATCTTAGAATCTTGCCTCGATAAATGGGCTCTTTCTTTTTGCTCTCTTTCGTATCAATGTCAAAGCAAAAGAAAACCAAAAATGAGAAAAAGAGAAGGGTTTTTTTTTTTTTTTTTTTTAAGGAAAAGAGAAAAAGAGAAGGTTAATTATTCTATTAAGTCTATCCCATCAATGTAGTTAATAGATGACAAACAGTTAATAGATTCTTGTAATTAAAATTATAAGAGAGTTTAAAAAAAAATTTATACTATAATTTAAATTATAATTTATAATTCGTTATAATATTTTTTTTATAAAAAATATACATAAATTAAAAATAATTTTAAATCATAATTATAAATTCATCAAATAAACGTCCATATTACCATTTTCCGGTGACAAATGTGGATAATTCTTCTCTCGACGCTATGAAAGTATCCTGTCCTGAGAGAAGGAAAATATGAAAAAGTTACAATAATAAGAGGACACGACACCGTTTCATAGTACGAAGTGGCCAAAAACGACACACACCAGCAAGAAAAAATATCAAAGAGAGTTCACTGGTGGCGCTCTTTCCACCTTATCCAACCTCCAAAACCCGCACAAGAACCGAACCAGTCTCACTAAACCCTCCATCTATGGCGGATCAATCCCACCCCTAAAACCCCACTTCCTTCTAGAATCCACCAAAACCCAAAACCAGTTCTTCATCTTGCTTCGCCATTGAAGCTCCAAAAATGGAACTCTCTTCTTCCTTCACGAACCTCCCGAACCCCTCAAATTACTCCTTCTCGTCCTCCTTCTCAACCTTCCCAATCCGGATTTCTCTCAAAACCTTGAACCCGAAAACCCCAACATCGCGAAACCTCCGAATTTTCGCCGTCGCCGTCGATCCACAACAAGACCTCCCTCGGAACTCTCCCCAGCGACTCCTCAAAGAGCTCGCCGAGCGCAAGAAGGCGACTTCTCCGAAGAAGAAGGTCCCGCCGAAGCGGTTCGTGCTCAGACCTCCATTGGACGACAAGAGATTAGCGGAGAGATTCCTCAACAGCCCCCAATTGTCCCTCAAATCGTTCCCATTGCTGAGCTCTTGCTTGCCCTCTTCGCGGCTCAACAATGCCGACCAAACCTGGATCGACGAATACTTGCTCGAGGCCAAACAGGCCCTCGGGTACCCGCTCGAGCCCTCCTATCGGTTCGGGGACGATAATCCGGCGAAGCAATTCGACACGCTTCTGTACTTGGCGTTCCAGCATCCTTCTTGCGAATTAAAATATATATATATAAAATAAAAATAATTTTAAATTATAATTTTAGATTTATGAACCAAACATCATCCTAAATTAAGTCTCTCAGCAAAACTACCCAAATGTACCCACAAAGTAAAGAAGAATGCCAGGGACCCCTTTCTAGTGAAAGTACCCTCTTAGGTGTAGGGCATAGTCTTAGGCGTAGACTCTATTCCCCAAGCTTTCGAATTAAAGCAACACAACACAATGAAAGACTTTTTTTTTTTTTTTTTTGGATTTTATGATAAGGTACGTTTCTTTTCCTTACGAGAGTTGTTTGGTTAAAAAATTCGTATCTTAATTTAAATTATAATTTATGATTCGTTATAGTATTTTTTTTATAAAAAATACACGTAAATTAAAAATAGTTTTAATCTTATGATTCTAATCCATAAACTAAACGTTTAATTAGTTTTGATTGTTAAATTATTTTTTAATAATTAAATTTGTATAGTATGTAATTTTGTGCGATGCACTGTAAATTTTTAATACGAATATGTATAAATTTAACCGTTAAAAATTTAATCCCACGGTCAAAATAAGGGGTTTTATTAGTGATTTTTTAAGAGATCTCACCTTAAAGTCTCCCAAAATGTTGAAATATCTCATTCATACATACTTTTAAATTGTTAAATTTGATGAAATTTGGTTAAATTGTTATTATTATTTTTTAATCTCATATGATAGCTAAACTCAATTTTTTCCCCATGAAATAGAGAGTTAATTGCCTAAGAAAGTTTAATTTAGTGGCACCGGAGGATTTAGGTGGAATGGAGTTTGTGGGAGATTACGGGTTCGACCTCGTGTTGTGTAAAAAATAAATAGAGAGTTAATTAAGTAAATTGGCTATACGAATAGATAATTGGGAGAATGTAGTAAATAGTAAATTTTTAAAATTATTTGAAATAAATAGTATTTTATGTGGTAAGTTAATCATTTATCACGTAAATGGTTCATTTACGGCTAGTAAAAACATTTTTTTCATGTAAATTTTCTTTTTATTACTGGCAAAAAGAATTTTTTCTATGTAAATAAAGATTTTTAAAGATTTTTTACCATATAAGTTATTTTTTAGCAATCGTAAATAAATCATCATTTACTAAGTAAATTGCTATTTACTTCAAATAGTTTTAAAACATGTTATTTACTTAATTTAGTTCTAAAAATTTGCTATTTATTATAAAATTTCCCTAGATATTTTTATTTGCTAACCCATTATTATGGGTGTAACTCATTTTGTTTAAAAATTAAAATGGAACGAGTTAAATCTTAGTTTAATCACGTTTACGTTGTGATTAAGATTTTTAACTTATTGGAGATTATGGAGCGGAGCATATTTAAGGCTTCTCGAATGTTCGCTTCGTTTAATTATATTTTATTTTTTAATTAATAATTGTGTATATCTTATATAATATTATATAAAATTACATATATAAATTAATGTTACATATAATATGTGATAGGATAAAAATAAAAAATGTATTATTTTGAACTCAAAATCTTATTTGTATATTTATTAATGTTAATTTTAACAAATAATTAATCAAGTAAATAAAGTACTTACGATAACTCCCAGCATAATCGACTTCGTACCATGCCAACTTTAAATAAAATAACGGGACGGAGATTGTTTTTATACACAAAA